TTGGCGAATATATGCTGCCACCTCGACACGAGGCTAAGTGTCGAGAAAACAACGCGCGCGCAAGGCCTCTCCCACCCGTTCCACGCCCAAAACGTCAGCTACATCCTGTTCAACCATTGAGGCGCTGTGACCTAGATACTACTCCCCCAAACTCGCCTTTGTCCCCATCGTGCGTAATCTTCCGCCCCCGAGGTCGACACAACGAAACCATATTCCCTCCCTGCTCGGCCACTACGAAGAGGGAGAGGGTACTGGAACCATTGACTCTCGAACCGACGAGGCGCGCTCAAAAGCAGGGGTGCGTACGGCGGGGCGCGTGCAACGTTACTTTCTTGCACGGTACGTGGTTGGATCTCGGCAAATAGCGGCGCGGCGGCACGTAGAAAATAGAGGCGCAACTCTGGCTCCCGTAGGGAGCCTATACAGGAACTGGTACTCTAGTGCAGCATTGACATTATAGGCTCCAGCCAGAGTTGCGCGTCTGGTTTCCACGTGCCGCCGCGCCGCTATTTGCCGATATCCGATCACGTGAGGAGCAGACTCCAAATGCCGTGCAAGAAAGCCACCGGTACGGCGGCTTCGCCGACGGTGCAAGCGCCTCGGTGTGCATAACCCCGCTTTTGCCTCCTCCTGTCCTGCTTTCCAGGAAATGAGGAGGTAGAGCGCGGCGGCCGCTATTCCCCGAATTCAGTCATGTGAGGAGCAAACTTGCAGGAAAGCCGGAGCTACTGGGATGAACGCGCAACTCCTGACTCCCGTAGGCTGCCTCTGCAGGAACTGTAGGGCAGCATGGAGTTCCTTCGTAGGCCCCATACGGTAGCCAGAGCAGGGTTGCCAGGTATTTGCAGATTAACCCGTCAAAATTTCCTGATATTGTGCCCAAGAATAGCCAAATGTCGGGCTATGAAAATAGCCCAACACATAAAATTTCAAACAAGGTATTTACATCTCTTTGGAACACGGGTAACATGATACATGACATAAGACAATTATTTACAGAAGAAAGCAATAAGAGGATAAAGCGTCCCCATGTATATTTTAGTGCAGCGAAAGAAGGGGGTTCTCAAACATCTGTTAAGCTGCCCCCACTCCTCTTCCTCCCTCCTTCTGGAAACACGTGCCTCCACCCCTGCCTGCGGCATTAAATCGTGCCAAAAAACTTCAGAAAAACGATATTGCACCTCCGCAACCAACACCAATGAGGGTCCACATATTGTATTTTCACGCTTGTGATTTGGATATTTTCCTTTCCTAACCTCTTGAGTTGATTGTTTTTCTCTACCCGGCGCAGAAATGGCATAGATACCATTCACATGGGCGTACCAACCGGGGGGGGGGGGGGGTCAAGGGGGGCGCAAGGCATGTGTTGTCCCCCCTCCTGCCACCCCCCCTAAAACAGCCGCCACAGGGCAGGTTAAAGACTGGCCGGCGGCGCCCAAGGAATACCAAGAGCACCCCCCCCCCCCCCCCCCCCCCCTCCTGACTCGAAAACAAGTTGGAACGCCACTGACCGTACATATTCCCCACGAACTACACCCTCTACAATACAGATAGAACCACACATTGTATCTGTATTCCTGAATACTTTTTCACCAGTTTCGCAGAAGTGTCTCGGGGATATAGCATTGCATAAAAGACAATGTATCTCAGTATCTGTATTTTTGGCCTTAAAGCAGATGTATCTCAGTATTCCCGAATGCTTTTTGGAGTGTATCTGCCCAGCCCTGGTTTATGGCACATTAATTTATTCTATCATTCTTATTATTTTCCAGGTACTTCGGGCAAATCAACCCATCTGAAGTGCGATACAAAAGTGCAACCAGTGGCATTGCACCGAAGTTGCGAACTCTTCAAGTGCTTTGACATCTGTAAGTGTACCGTTCTTCAATTATACTCCGTGTCACTAGTTGTGTGTAGTGCAGGTTAATGCAACGCCATGCGAAGAGAGAAAAGGCGAGCACTAGGAAGGCATATGGGAGAGGAGGGCTGGGGAAGAGGGGGAAAGCACTACGAATGTTAGATAGGAGAGGAGGTTACTCTCCTCACCCGCCTTTCTAGCGCTTGCCCTTTCCCCTCTTCGGGCATTGCCTTAGCCTGTGCTGCGCGCAAGTAGTGACTCGGAATATATTCACCATTGTACAGGTTATGATGCACTGGCAGGTAATATATAACTGGGTAAAATTAATCTGCTCAGTGCTTGGAGACGCAGCTCGCTATTTGCTTGAACACGACCCACAGGAAACCAGCTGCAAGCTCCCGTTCTCATAACGAGCATTAGAAATGGCATGCATTATAATATGTCGCTAATAGACCGATCTCATCAGCTTGTTTGAGTACGCCACCACTGCCAGTATGCATCGTGGGAGCTGTAGTCTTTCTACACGCGCGACAACCATGCCGGAGGTTTGCGCGAGAAGACCACGAGGCAGCATGAGCTGTCGCGTGAACTGGAGTCTGCCTCCTACGAACTACAGTTATGGCGGCGTCACGCATGCGTGGAACGCTTGGTGGGATCGGTCTATTCATTTACGCTGGAAACGTAGCTATGCTCTTATAACATATGTAATTTATTTTTTATTTTTCAGGTGTTTAGTCTCTATTTTTCCTTCCCGTCTTTTTTTTAGTATTTAGCACCTGCACGACAATTCCGCTGGTAGACTGCAACCACGAGCTCTTTGCTCAAGGATGCACCTCAACTGCATGAACTCTCGCTTGTCAGAAGCAACCACCAAAGATAAATTCATGGGCTCTGGATTCTCGCCCTCAGAAAATATCACCATTAAAATACAAGTATTCGCTCAGACTGGTGCTATCAGAAGTTCTCAGAAAAGCAAAAAGCATTCTTTCGAGACATGTTGAGCTTGAATTTATCCTGAGTGAAATAAGCAACGGCAACAACAGGGTACTTGTTCTCTTGTCCTCTTACAAAATGCCAGTGTGTTGGCGGCAGTACCAATTTAATTATTGTGATTGCATCAGGAAAGGGATAAGGGGAGCACTACAAATGAATCACGGCTAAAAATGTCACTGTCAAGATTGCAAGTTACAAAATGTGGAAAGCGCGAGGTCCCTTTAACAAATTTCTTGAACCCCATGCCTTACAGAAGCCCTCGATCTTTTGGGGGTGGGCTATCTGGCCTCTACACTCAAATGTGTTTGAGAGCACTGTTTTAGATGGTCCAAAATTTTGTTAAAGGAAGCTTGCATTAGGACATCTCTGATATTGGCATTCGTTTATCTGGTTAGGCGCCACTGAGTACAAGGTTGCTTATGGCACTTTTCAGGCTAATTGTGCATTTTATTAGTAAAAAATAAACACAGTTGCAATAAGAAAGAGGCTGGCATTGTTGAAAACCGCCAAAATCAGTTGTTTAAATATATTGAAAACACATGCTTTTTATCTGTGTTTTCGGTTTTGCAGCCTTGCACCTGTATCTAAAGTGGTAAACTTTCCACCCCACTATTCTTCAAAGGTGTGCAAAATAGTTATGAAGTTAGCTGAGTTCCTGGTTTTTGGTAATGCTCATTAAGAAAGGTGTGAGGCCTTGACAGTGTCCTATATGTATCTAATCATGGTATACAACTGGGTTTGGCTTTTCAGGAATGCTCCATGGCTCTTTTTGGTGGTCAACACCCAAGGCACAAGACTAAAAGATAAGACATGCAAAAAGATGAAGAAAAGAAACAAGCGACGTTTCTGGTGCATGCATTAAATGTGTATTTTTGAAGTATATGTTTCACCCAGTGTTTATGAGCAATAAATATGTAGGAACAGATACCAATTTTCGTAGCTTATTTTATAAAATATTGCATGATCCTGACAATGTTATATTCGCAGGAGTGACACAAAAGCTCTCAATTGTATTTCAGGTTGACAGTTAGGACGTCCAAATGATGCCAGGCCATATAATGAAATGACGATAGAATGTGGGATTGGCAGCTTAATTGTTTTCGGGTTGACAAATGGGACATGAAAATGACACAAAACACCGTCGTTTGACAGTTAAAAGCTTGGAAAAGAACTGCAAAGACATTTCCTGTCAATTTGATGGAAAATGTTCTAGTGTTAGTTTTGTTGACTTCGCACGTGTACACCTAAGAGTGGGGTTTATCGGTTCCCAGTAAGTGAGAAGGGTGTGGAAAACGGTATATAAGTACACCTAAAAATGGGGTGTAACTGCATTCCCAGTAAGTGAGAAACGGAATATCAGTGCACCTAAGAATGGGGTGTATCAGTATTCCCAGTAAGTGATAAACGGAATATATGTGCACCTAAAAGAGGGGTGTATCAGTATTCCCAGTAAGTGAGAAACGGAATATACGTACACCTAAGAATGGGGTGTATCGGTATTCCCAGTAAGTGAGAAACGGAATATATCTACACCTAAAAGGGGGGTGTATCAGTATTCCCAGTAAGTGAGAAACGGAATTTATGTACACCCCGAGGTGGGGTGTGTCTTATGCACCCGCTGAGGTGCACATGTGCACCTCAAAATGGGGTGCATGTATGCACCCCTTTTTGGGGTGTCGCATATATACCCATGGGGGTGTCGTATATGGGACAAGTCACATACACCCCACTGGGTGTAAGTACTACACCCCCTTTTTTTTAGAGTGCGGAAACTGCGAGTGTTCCATGGCTACACGCTAGATGGCGCAAGTGAGTTCTCTCGTCGCGAGAGATTTTAACAGGTCTTAAAGCACACGGTCGTAAGTAGTCGCCAGTGTGTGAAATAGCCTTTAGCGTACAAAGGTAAGATCCCCTAGTCGCCAAAAACTTAGGAAACGCAGGGCGTATCTCCTTATGTTGATGATTCTTGCGTCTTGATAAATTCTTCAACCTTCCTGACGGCTGTTGCCCCAGTCTCATTAAAGGCTCATCAAATCTCATTAAAACGATAAGAAGATACCCAGGGCTCGACTCGCCTCGCGTTTCTTAAAACAAACTAGAAATGTCAAAACATGATGCATTATCAAGAAAGCAAGAGCAACAACTTTACCTTCTCCGTTGTCGTCACTAACTGAACCACCCGAAACTGGAGCTTTGGATACGACGTCTGATCGAATCGCATGTTTACCTGACAAGAAAAAAGTCGATATGTGAGTCGTGGCGACGCACCATGATTAAATGGTTAGCGCAAATTATGTCTGATACTCACAGCAGTCATTAAAACGACTACGTAGGAACATATCTCTGTTCTAGTCATTCCCTTGTGGTGTTCCGAATCCGAGATGATGGATACCTCTTGTTTGGCTTCGCGCCAATGCGGATCAAACCACATCCAGCTTGGAGCTAGAAAACGACGTCATTGCGGTCAGAGGTGTGCGGCCGGGGTGCAATCGGTGCGGGCGACCCTCGGGTGTTTGGATGACACCGGATGTTCGGATGAAAAGTTAATAGACTTTTTCTCCGTCCAAATGCATTGCTAGAGGTCGGGACCAGGATGCCAAACTTTCACAACCTACTGATTCAAAAGTTATAAAAGACATTTGGACATGCTTTTGGGAGAAATTTGCGACCAACGAACGCGCCTGTATTTCTCGTTGAATTTTTTTTTTTATAAATTTTAATAGGATATGAGTGTACGCTCTGGAATATTGGCATCTGGTTTGAACTGTTAACGCTACGTATGTGGCCGAAGACGGAGCGGTCTGCGATGCATTGTTTAGGTTGGCAGTACGAAAACAATCTTATATTTTCTCCCAAGCACTCGGTATTTCTATGTGTCCCCACTAAAGTAAATATAGGCGTAAACAGCAATACTATTTTTGTGGAAAAAAAAGCTGAAATGGTGAAAGAGAAGATTACCCATAAATTTGTTAAATAACAAACGAAGAAGTAATTTAGTTTTCTACTCAACATGATTCCACATGGGTTTGAAACAGAGCGAGTAAAATTACTTTTGCTTTATGCTTGCAACGTGGTTTCTTACGCCATGATCAGCTAGTAAAACATAAAGTTGTGTTGATAACTCTTTGTTGTATTGGAGCGAGCAGGTTAAAAAGTGGGCGAAAAATGGGTATTCCTCTCTCTTGTAACATATTTTTGTCTGTCATGCCAAATCTTGCGATTGTTTCTGAATCCGCATTGCACGACTAAATTAAAATTGAAAATTAAAATACTCCAATCAACTTACCCAAGGGCGATGCCATTGGAGATTTTATTGGAGTAGCTGAAAAGAATGAACGCTCCATTTTATTGGGTACATGACTTTGAAATCGAAGTTTAGAACCTTATCCTTCATTTTTACTACAGGCTATTTTAATCTATTTTCGTCTTTTTATACTCCAACGCGCTTTTTTTTTACAAACAATATCAAGCGTTCCCTCATACCAGGCATGGGAACTGCGCATGCGCAAAAAACAACAAATTTGCGTCAAGTGAAGCGTCCGCACATGCGTCATGCCGTCAGCGGCACCACACCAGTGGCGTGGGGTGTCGCTATCTTGAAATATCGTCGCTTCCAGTATGGGCAAAAGCATTGTTTTGCCGTCGCCTCACCAATCGAATACATCAAGGATATAAGCGCAACCGTCCCCCATTCTCGTTTTATCACCCCTTTATTTTTTTACTATTTGTAGGTTGAAATTTTTTAATATTTTTTTGTCGCCCCTACAGGATATGCCAACCAGGTGACTAAGGTCGAGAGTAAGCGAAAAATGTCTATAGATCACCCAGCAAAACACCTATATACACCTGTGCCGGGTTTTAAAATGTGTAGGCCGGAATTTGTGATATATTTGGGTATACACTCGTCAACTGGTTGCACATATAGAACCTCCTTCTATAGTCCGTTGCAATTCAAGAAGGTAGAGCAAGGCAAAGGAAAGGGGGGGGGGGGGGGGGAGGAGGGAGCAGACGCAACGATGTAGAGAGGAGGAGGTTTCCCCCTCTGCTCCCCAGCGTTCCGTCTGGTTCCTCCTCCCCGGCCTTCTTTTCCCTCGCCTACCTTCTTTAGCCGTAATTTAGTATAGTGCAGGTCAGGGACAGATCATCTTTACAGCGAACTGTATGAGCCCGCTTTTAAAGGGAAGCTGAAGCGGTTTTAAATATGAGAAAAAACACCTGAGCCTAGTTAATGAGATCTCAGCCATCACGAATATCGCATTCGTTTGGTCATTTTCTGCGCGGATTAACCGGAAAAGCGCCTTCAAAGTGGCGTCGAAGCCACACCTCTCCGAAGCAGAGGGAAAGGGGAGAGAGGAGGAAGCCCGTCAGCCGGCGTCACAAAAGGACCCGCTGGGGGACCCCGCCGCGGCTGGCCGCGCTTTCCTGGTGGGCTGCTCTAGTGTCTTTTCGAGCCGTCGTCGTTCTGCCGCTGCATAGCGCTTGCTTTTATCCCTTGAGTGGTCATGCTATTGACTCAATCGCCTGACGTGTTGATTGTTCTCTTGTTTGTTCACGGGTTTGCGGAATTCTCGTGGCACCGAACCAAGCGACTCGTGCTGTGTTGCACGATGCCGTACTCCTGTGTAGCGCCAACTTTCACGAACAGCGCTCGTCGCAGTTGTTCTTCCCGCTTACTGTCATTTCCACTTCGTCACCGGGATTTTAAAGGGGTTGCGGGTTTGAGCACATACATCATTTTTTGTTCGAAACGTGCCTCGGACGGCGCATATGAAAACTATGTACGTATGGGTTTGGGTCTGAAGAAGGCTTGCCTGAATCCTGCGCTCTGCCGACCATCTTTGAAAGTACGAAGGCAATTCAGCGCATTAAAAGTCACAAGCCAAGAGGAAACGTAACTGGCTAGGAATTGTGTGTCGACTGTTCTAGAAAAAAAACCATTACGTTATTAGAATTGTGCAGTGTGCTAGAAAAGCCGCGATCATTTAGCCGAATAGCAGGTTTCTACTCGCTCTCTTATGTTAACCACCTTATATTAGTGTTTTAGTGTTGGGTTTATATATTTGAAGTGACCATATTTTCCAGACCGACTCCGGTCCGGGAAATCTGGGAAACAAACGACTCGGCTACCCAGTCACTTGGGAGAGGAGGGCTTGCTCTAATAAGTAGTCATGCAATTCATAATGCGACTTTCACGGTGCAACTTGTTTTAGCATAATTTTTTTTTTCTTACAGTTCCTGACATTATTTGAGGTCACATTATTTTTAAACTGAAACCTAAGTTGTGTTAAATTTTCCTCCCAAAGGTTCATATTCTCTTCAGGGGAGCCTTGTGGAAATACAAAGCATGTGACCTTCTGTTCTGAATTGATTTTTTTTTTTACAAGTTACGCAGTGTTTTCCGTATAAAGTTTGTGTAATGCAACGATTCTTTGTGCATTAGAAATGCGATCGGACGATGATAATGCCTGGTGGCGGTGTAATGCAGTCAACAAATCTTGGTAAAAGTATGCGAATGTAGAGGCCCAGGAAGCTTTAACGAATTCGACATAAAATTAAGGGGTGCGGGCACACATCTCCGCTTTTTCTAAAGCTATAATGGCGTAATATTTTGCGGCAAACAAACTGAACGCAACAGAGGGTACTGCAATGACAAGGATGGACCTTTTGCGCAGTTATTCGCATAGTGCCCAAAGACATGGCGTTGGCAGAACGGCGACCCAATTTTATCACCCGTCTCATCTCAGGGGAGGCTCTCCCGTTACCCGAAGCCGATTATACTATCCCTTCAAACCACTTCAGCCTTGATGAACAATGCAGTCTGCACGCTCACGCGTCCAGCAGCTGGTAAGCACGAAGGCCGATGTGTGCAGAATTCCTGTCCTCTGACGACCGTTTTGGGAAGGGTCACGCTAATCCGGCTTGAGGCGTCCCGTCAATAGCACTCCGTTTATTGTCAACGTTTTAGGTTACAATAAGTAGCGGTCAGTACGTTCCTGAAGGTACAAAGCCGGCCATGTCGCTCGCGTCCGCGCAAGCGGTTCCTCGCCTCTGTGTTTATTACTGCAGGGGGTCATTTTCCTACTTTGCAAATGCCTGGAACGCGTACTTTTTCACGTTGAGGGTCGTCTGGACATATTCCTCTTTCGGATCCACCGAAAGATTTTGAAAAATCAGAAGCCGAACCCGATTTACAAGAGCAGAAGACCCGGCGCCCGGCTACTTCCGCAAGCGACGGAGCAAACGAGAATCGAGATGGACCTTTTATGACGTAGTGGCGCGTCACGCGGGGCTAGCCAATGGCGTGCCGCTGCGGCGATCGCTTCTGATTTCTTCGCTTTTTTTCGCGTTTAGGGATTATTTTGGGTCAAATGGTTGTGATATTTGGACTCAGCAGGCACAAACGCGTCAGAATCAACCATTAACTCATTTTCTTCGAAAAGCTCTTCAGCTTCCCTTTAAGGTACTCGCGCTGGACAGTCAACAAGAGAGTGATGAAGAAATCATAGAGTGTTAGTACTGAGTAATGAGGCAAACGAAATCACTGTGCTTTTACGTATGCTCGCTATGGATATCTGCGTAGGTACGCAGCGGCCCTCTACATGCCCTTCTCGTTGCTCTCGCAGCGCGCGGAACACCGCGAAGAGAGCAGTTTGCACGGGCATATCTAGATGGCGCTGCAATTTCTTACGTTTGCTGTTAAACTGCTAAAAGGATTAACCGTATTGTTTTTTTTATTCACTTATTTATATTTTTTAAATCACAGATTGGTTAAATGTTCAACTAAAAATGTTGTTTAGGTGGCGCAAGCCGCCTCCCAATTAAGATGGTTCAGCCACAGCCATTCATCCATCTGTGCCTTTGTGTTCCGCGCTGTGTGCTGCTTTGACGCCCTCCTCAGAAGTCCGTGGAGAGATTACGTGCGTCGGAGGCAGGGCTAACGCATTAGTCTTTATTCATGTTCTGAAACTGACTAATAGAAGTAAACGGTGGGCCCAAAAGGATCGCCACCAAGCACGCGCTAATGTGGTGGGCGGATGTTCGGGGTTTCGGTGCGCGTACATGTTGCAAGGCTAACAAAAAACCAGGGACTCGAACAGGGTATTATTCCGGTTCGGTTCGGGTTCGGATTCAGTAGCTGTACATTTTGTTCCGGTCCGGTTCTGGTTTAGTGGTGAATTCCAAATAACGGTTTGGTTAACGGTTCCACGAAGCGCGAACCGGTTCAAACCGGTTGTTAAAAAGGAAAGTCCACAGCTTCAAGTCGTTAAGGAGTAGTAGTGCGTTGAACACGCGTCATTTGAATTTAAAAGAAAAAGTAACCAGAAGCAGTGCTGCCGGAACGAGGAAAGCAAAAAGAAACATATGCATGCTTAATTTCGTTTTGTGATCTCGACTTTTCATTCCATACACCGTTCTCCGGAAATGGAGTGGTCATACAAGAGTTCAGAAACAGTACCAAAGTACAGTAACCACATACATGTCACTCAGCCAGCACGCATGCGACAACGTCACAGTATAGTACACACCGTACTCGCAAGTATCCACCCTGCACACCCGCACGCCTGTCTCTAATGCTGAACTCACGAAAGAGACAGTGAAGCGCGTTCTACAAATGATTAAAACAAAAATGAAAGACGTTTACAGTTCCCTGTAATGCCAAATTAGAGCGCAGCTCTTGAGGAGGAGGGGGAGGGTACAAAGAGGAGGGTGTGCCCCTCGTCCTTCTCTGTACCGTCTCCTCCTCTTCCCCCTCTTTCTTCGTCTCCTCCTGCTCCCCCCTCCTCAACTTCTCCTCCTCCACCACCCCCTCCTCCTTCTCCCTCCTCCTCCTCTTCCTCCCTTCCTCCTCTTCCCCTTCTCCTCCTTTCCCTCTCTCCCCCCATAACTCCCTTTCTTGTGACGTCATTCGTGAGCCTCTCGACGTCAATCGTGACCCTCGTGACGTCACTCGCGGTTCTCGTGAAGGTCACTCGTAAAGACCTTGTGAAGGTCACCGTGAAGGTCGCGACCTTCGTCGTGACCTTAACGAGTGACCTTCGTGACGTCGCTCGTGACCTTCGAGACGTCACTTGGGACCCCTCGTGACGTTACTCGTGAAGGTCACTGTGAGGGTCGTGACCTTAACGAGTGACCTTCGTGACGTCACCTGTGACGTCATTGCGTCATTATGGGAAATGTCGCATAATGCAACGCGCGGTTACTCCGACGGCGACGGCGCTCAACCCGGAAACGGGCGTCCAAGAGCTACGTTCTAACACAGAGGTAAAAGGAAACGGGCGACCCCCCCCCCCCCATGTTGCTCTTAAAAAAAGGAAATTTTTT